CTCCTGCCCTGGGCATTTCCCCCCCCCTCTTCGCGCTGCAGTTTTCCTCTTTCCTTTTTGTTTTTTTCTTTTTCTTTAAAATGAAATGTATAGTACAAATATATGTGCAAATGCCCTAAAACTTGAGCAAACGATAAAAAAAGAAGAAAAAAAAATTAAGAGTTCTTCATTTCATGCAAAGGGCACCAACAGTCTGTCGCCCGTCCGTGTGTGCCTGGGTGGGGTGGGTGGTTGGGGGACATAATCCAGACAGACGCGTGGTTTCATGTACATCGCACCGTCCCTCCTCACTTTCTCTCTCTCTCTCTCTCTCTCTCTCTGAAGGGCGGCTGCCCCTCCTCTTGAGCCGCCTCCGGTCTCCTTCCTCTGCCTGTCCGCTGGCCGCCCCTAGGGCACCGAGTTCGAGCGCAGCACGGGGACCTGGTGGGCCTTCAGAGCCGAGACCTTCTCTTCCAAGTCCGCGTCCTGTCCGAAGGCCGAGGCCTCCCCCTTGGGCGGTTTGGTCGCAAACTCCGTGACGCTGAAGACGAACTGCAGGCAGCCCAGCTTAATGTAACTGCCGTGGTGCAGCAGGGCGGTCCCCTCCCAGCCGGCCCCGCTGCCCCCGATCAGGCTGGAGCTGCTGGCTTTGCAGTTGCAGGGCCTCGGGGCCGGCCCTTGGGCCTGGGCCCGCATCGCCTCCGCGGCGGGGGACGCGGCACGGGCGCCCCCCTCTTCGCTGGGCCGTCCGTCCTCCTCTTGTTGCTGCTGCGGCTGCTGCTGCTGCTGCGTCTTTCGGCTCTTGTGCCGCTCTGGAGAGACAGAAGGCAAGGGGGTGGTGGTGAAGGGAGGGACCCCAAGAAACCGCCGGAGCAGGGACACCCGCGGCGCTCACCCTCTTAGGTCCTCGCCTGCCAAGGGGACGGGAAGAAAAACCTCTCAAAGGTCACGGTTTGTACTTTCGACATAAAGGGTGTGTGTGTGTGTGGAGACCCAAGACAGTCCTCCTTTGGTTTCCAAAATAAAAAGATATATACGAAAGAAATAACGGGAGCAAGGAAAACTGCTTGAGACCACCTTGCCTTCTGAAGCCACGCGGGACGTGTGTTAATGTATGTGGTGGGTCAAGGGGTGGCCTGGCATCCATCCAAACATGTCTGAGGCTCCCCACAGGACCGGGTGCGAGGGGACAGCGCCTCAGGGACAGGGGACCGCAGAAAGGAAGCCCTCTCAGCAGGCCAGGGAGGAGGAAGAGACCCTGGGAGCTGGGCCGGCTGGAGCTGCCCCCGGGCCGTTCTGGATCCCGCCTGAGCCCAGATGGAGAGGTCGCTCCTGGCTACCTTCCGTTACACCCCCTCAAAAGGGCCCGTCTTGGGGATTCCCTTGGACAGCCGCGTCTTGAGCTGCGATCGCTGTGGAGCATGGATGGGGGGGGGGCAAGAGGCAGGTTCTGGGGCTAGGGTGGGGCCAACCAAACAAGCCAGCTTAAAAGGAACGTACTGATCACGCTCTGCACTTTGGCAACCATGCTGCTGGGGGGCACGAGGGCAGTCTTCTCGGAGAAGTCGCACGAATACAGGACGTTGTCTACCGTCGTCCCGTGCTCGCTGTAGTTGAGCAGCTCGTAATGCTTGGTGTTCTGGGGGGGGGAGGAGGAGAAAGAAACCCCTAAGAACCCAAGGGAAGCTTCCTGCACCCGCCGTCAGGCCCCGCTGAGAGACCTCTTGAGCCCAGGGTGGTCAACACTGACCGGCCACCCCGACTCCCCAAGGGTAATCGGGGGGGGGGAGGGAGGTGTCTTCCCTGCCCCACTGGACGGAGGTGCTGCTTTCTTCAGGCCGTGAAGTGCAGCCCCTCTCCATCTACATTGTGAGAGATGCAAAGCACAGCGGGTGGGCAGGGGATTCTCCCCCCCCAACGCACGCACGCACGCACACGCAAAGAAGGAAGTTCAAGGGGGCTCCTGCTGCTCCTTTCTCCTCCCTGGAAGGAAGCGCGCATGCACGTGCACACACATCTGTATCAACCCTTCCCTCCCCCTGGCCTGGGAGTCACCTCGTCAAAGAAGATGCAGGCGTGCTTGCCCGAGACGTAGTTGCAGTGACCGTAGTTCGTAAGGCACACGTCCATATCTGCCCCTGCCGGGAGGAAGAAGAGGAGGAGGAGGAGACGGGGTCAGCATCCCCACACGCTCCCAGCTCTCGCCCAGGCTGGCCATCTCCACGAATCCCAACCCGGAGGAGAAAGGCCACCCGCAGGCTTGCTCAGGGTGGGCGGCCAGCCAAAGCACACCTGCCCTCCCAGAAGGGCCGGACAGGCCTCCGGTTCCACCCCTCACCCTAAACCTAACCCTCCAGCCTAGAAAAACCTGCCAGAGGTAGGGGCAGGGGGGGGGCTGCCGGTTCCCATCAGGGAGGCCTCTAAGCCCAGCCCAGCTTTAGGCTCCCTCTGCCCCCACCCTGAATCCCCGTGCCGGGCTTGCCAAGGCTGGGCCCTTTACCTGTCCCGATGTAGAGGGTTCTGTAACACATGTTCACAGCACTGCCCATCCCCAGCAGAGGGTAGAAGACGGCTCGGGCCTGCACCTCCTTCCCCTGCCCTGCAAAAGAGAGAGAGAGAGGGGAACAGTTTCAGAGACCCCCTCCCTTGGATGGAAAAGGCCCGACCTGGTCTCTGGCTCCAATTCTGCCTCCCATCCTCCACCCCTGGAGGATGTTTTAAGCATGGGATCCGCAGAGCGGACAGGCGGCAGGAACCATCGACTCCTGCATCCGAAAAAGAGGGAACGGGGAGGGCTATGTGGGGGTCTGCCCTGTACCCACCTTCAGCAGGGTGGGACGTGGGGCTGGGTTGCCGGGCACTGGCGCTGCCCGTGTAGGGCTGGGTTTTGGAAGTGAACAGCTGGTGTATTCTCTGCAAGGCCAGGAACTTGATCAGCTTCTCATCCAGCATGTTGATCTCAATCTCTGTGGGTGAGAGAGAGAGAGAGAGAGAGATGGCGGTTGAGCAAAGGAACACGTGGGGGAAGTCTGGTGGGGGGGGGGAGAACGCTTCCAGGGCCTCCCAAAAAAGACATGACGCCCCTTCTTACCACTGCGTGGCCCATTCCCGTGGGACTGAGCAGGCCCAAGAGGGTCGGCCACCTCAACCGGCCCCAGGTCTCAGAGGGCCGAGGCGGCCAGGCAGAGAGAGGGCTTCCCCGCTCGCCCACCCGCCTTGCGATCCAAGGGGGAGAAGAGAGGAAGGGGGGCCCCTCACCTCCGCCGCCATCCATTAATGCTTTCAGGGAGCTGGTGAGCTCCAGCGCAGATGAAGAGTTGGAAGAGAGCAGGGAGGGGGCTGATAAAACGCTCCCCAGGGACAAGGCGCTGGGGCTGATCTTCTCGTCTGGAGGGGGAAAGAAAGAGAACGGCCCCGTCAGGAGGCCCACGGCTGCCCCACCATCGCCGCCCGGCAGCCCCATTTCCCCACTTTGTGCTGACTCCTAGAATGATCCGCAGTCGAGCCTCGCAACCGTTTACCGTCAGATGACGGCCACAAGCAAGAACGGTCAATGGGAAGAAAAACCAGCCGTGGGACTCCTCCGGAAAAACCACGGGAGGAAGCCAGAACTTCAACAAACCCAGCCACCCTAACCCTCTCCTGCTGTCCAAATAAAGGTTGCGCAACTATGCCCATAGGGCACAAAGCCTTTTCAAGGCAGGATGAGAACAGTTTGACTTTTTAAAAAATGATTCTTTTGCTTTCTCCAGCTCTCTAGGTTAGCAACTTCATTTTTCAGCGTTGGGCTGAGGACGCCCGGCCTCCGGGGAAGTGAGGCAGCAGCGCTCTCTCAGGCGGCGGGACCCTTCCGCCGGCCTCAGGCACTCACCTGGAGGCGGTGCCGGCAAGCAGAAGCCATGGGCCGCCCCCGCGGTGGCCGCCGCCTGGGGTGGGGTGAGCGCCCGAGTGGCCGTCAGCGGAGACTCCATCGTCCCGAGATCGGCGGCCAGGAGGGGCCCGACAGGGGCTGGCGGTGTGCTCTTCCTTGGCAAGGCGCCGGCCGCTTCCAGGGTGGCGCACGAACCGGGGACGGGAGCCGCCACGCCCGCCGTCGGCACGGAGCCCCGGTGCGTGCAGGAGACAGGGTCCGCCGCGTTCTCAGTCTTGATCCCGGCCGTGTGATTGAGGAGCCGGCAGGGGGCGGGGGGAGCGGAGGGCCGAGGCCATGGCTGCTGCCGGAGGGAGGCCACCGGGAAGGCGCCCCCATGCCCGCTCAGCCGGGGGGAGTCAGTCAAGTGCACGGAGGCCTCCCCATAGAAATGGGGCCCGTTGATTTTCACCTCCGCGGCGGCGCTGGGGCCGTTGGCGGTCCCGCAGGGAGACGCTTTCTTGGGCCTGTCTGGACACGCAGGGTAGGGGCCCTCCTCCTGCAGCGAGTTTTGGGCGACGCAGGAGGGCGAGTAAAGGGGAGGAGCGCCGGCCTTGTCCGCTGCCTGGTAGGGGCCGGCCAGGGACCCGTCGCTCACAACCGCCGGCTTCACGTCGGCCTTTTCCGCCTGCTCGGAGTCCCACAGCGACGGCATCTGCTTAGCAGACAAGTGTTTCAAGATGCTGCACTGAAGAGCGATGACGCTACGCAACCACTGAGAGGAGGAGGAGGAGGAAAAGCAGGCAAGAGCCACGCTTGAGAATCAGGAGAGAAAAGCCGGCAGGTCCCAGCCAAAGCACCGGAGGAGGGAAGGAGAGGAGCGCTCGCAGTGGAAGGCCTCCGCTCTCTGGCTCACGCCTCTGCCGGCACCATCTGCCACCCTCTTGAAGCCAAAACCCCTCCGCGATGCTCTCAACCCCTCCTCGAGGTCCCACAAGGCCCCCCTTTGCCCGACAAGCCGCGCCCCTCGAATCCATCCCGGAGACACGGCCGGGGAGGGCCCCCTCCCCTCTCACCCTTTGGCCTGTTTTTACCTCGTGCTGCTCCGACTGGGGGGCGAAGCGCTCCGGGCTGCAGAGTCGCGTAGAGGAGGGCTCCTCCGAAAACCCGTTGCCGATCAGCTCCCCGTCCCGGATGGCCGCAGGCGGCAGCAGTGGGGGCGGGACACGATACTGGGACTTGACCGCATCCGGAACCTGCAAAGAGGAAGGGAGGAGGAGGAGGAGGAGGAGGAGGAGGAGGAGAGCCGAGTTGGACCTTTCTGTCCTCTTCCTGGGTTCATTGTCAAGGCAAAGGTGGCCAGTTTGAGGCTTCACTGGGCAGAGGCTGCCACCTCCTGGTCGATGCTGGCAATGCAGATCCACCAGGAAGGCAGTGTGTTTATTTTTATTTATTTGTTTTATGTGTCCCTTCAGTTTGGCAACCGCCCCTCTGGTTCCTCCCTCGTCGGAGGGTCAAGGAAGGGTGGAGGAGGCAATCCAGAATTATTTTCCTGCCCATGAAACAAACCGTGGCTTTGCTCTCATCCCCCGACCCACCTTCAACCCCTTCCTCTTCATCGACTGCACCACGCGGCGGTTGGGAGGGTGTTTCTTGTGGATCCGGTTCAGGAAATCCACCTTGACCACGTGCTGGGAAATGGTGTCCTGAAAGCGGTCAAACACCCGGCACCGGTTGCTGAGGGTCATGTTTTTCTGGTTCAGCTGCAAACGAGAAGAGACGGAGCACCTCGTGAGGAGGCAGCCGGAGAGCCCAAGGGGAAGAAGGGGCTGGCTTTGGGGGCTGGGGCAGAGGGAGGAACCCCCCAACCTGACTCACCACCACGTGCTCAATGTGGTTCGGACACATCCACCGGCCCAGCGGCATCGCCGTGAGAGGAGGGTCCAGGCAGTCCATGTGGAAGAGGAGCGGGCAGTAATCGCACTGGATGAGCGGAGCGACACGGCAACTCCTGAAGGGAAGGCAGAGAGAGAGAGAAGGAAATGTCACCAGTAGGGAGGAAGAGGAAGGCAGGCTTAGGCGGGGCTGCCCTCTCCAGAGGCTTTTCCCGCTCACCGACAATGGCCTGCTTGGACCGGCAGGACCAGGAAGGGGGCCACGTCTCCCCCCCCATGGCAAATCCTGTGGGAGCGACCGCTGCCCACTTAAGACGGCTGATCTCACTTTGGATTTGTCTCTCTCTCTGCGGGTGTGTTTTCTCCGGCGCCTTGGGAGGGATGACACAGAAGAGAACCAAGGGACTGGCGTTCTCCTCCGAGGGCTTACGGGAACCTCCTCTCACCAGCAGAGTCAGCCTTCGCTGCCGGGAGCCCCTCCTGCCCCACCCAAGGGGACAAAAGCCCAGCCCTAATCCCTTCCTCCCCTCCCCCCCCCGAGGGCCAAGGCGCCCAAGAATACCTGCCGCAGGTGAAGCAAACTTTGACAGGCAAGGGGACCAGGCCGTTGTGGTCCAGCTCGTGCTGCGCCCTCTTGACGTTCTTCCCCGTGGTCTCCTCTTTCCGCCGCCTCTTGCTCGTACCTGGGGTTGCGGGAAGGAGAGAGAAGCGGCCCCCGGTCGGTCCCCTCCTTTGCTGCCTCGCTCTCTCTGGGGCAGAGCAGCCTCTCCCGAGAGTGCCCCATGACACACAGACCTGCCTCTCGGTCCGTCGTTGGAGGTCCGAGAACGTTTTACGATACAAGGCCCCCCTTTCCACCACAGACAGAAGGGAGGAGGGACCCCCCCGGCCGCCCCCCCCGAATGGCCTACCTGGAAGTGCTGTGGTACAGGTCAGTTCGTTGGGCAGCTGGAACTGGGTGGGGTTCCTCTCCATGGCGGCCGCAATCAGCAGCTCAAAGGGTCGCTTCAGGAGGGGCTGCCCGCCCTCTGCCTCCCCCGTGGCGGGGGCCGAGTAGTCGTCCACGTCAATGATGTCCTCGTCCACGTCGTTCTGCTCCGAGTTCGGGGTCTCGGTGCTGGCGTTGGACGTCGGGGTGCCGGGCCGGCTGGCTCTCCGCTCCAGGAGCCGAGCGTGGGAAAGGGTCCGGAGGCTTCCGCCGGCCCCCGCCCGCTCCAAGTAGTCCGCATCGCTGGTGGGGGACGTGGTCCTTCTCCCAGCCTTGTCCACCAGGCCGTTCACGTGGCCCAGCTCCTTTTTCTGCTCCCGCTTCTGCAAAAGGAGAGACTCAGACGGGTTACGCCTCACTTCGGCCGACCATCGCGGGCAAAAAGAAAACTCTCTCGGAGCAGGCGTGGCCCCTGGTGGAGGAGCGGCTGGAATTCAGCCAGCCTAAGCCGAACGACTGGTGAAAAAGGACCAGAGACGGGGTCGGGCCGACTGGCCCCTCTTGGGGAGCTGCCTCAAACCCAAGGGCACCACAAATGTACCCACTCACTGACACCCCCCCACACACACACACGGGAGAGCCAGGAGGTGGTTCTGGAGCTACGCTGGTCTTCGAGCTTTCGAGGCACTTTAAGCGAGGCAGCATCCTGAGCTACGTCGAGGTGGATCTGGGTCAGGATGGCCAACCACCCTCACAATCCTCGGAGTCGCGTTTCAAACCAGGAGCAGGTTTTGCCCCTTCTGAGAGGGGCGCCCCACACACAGAACACACAAAGCATAAGTAAGGCTGAACTGAGACAGTGTGTGTGTGTGTGGGGGGGGGGTCCAGATTCAAGGGGAAAGCTGGCTAGTGACCGTCTCCCTGGCAGTTCTGGGGCTGAGGCAGGAAGGCGATTCGATTCGGGGCTCCGGGCTGAAGGAGGTGAAGGGGGAAGGATGCCGAATTAAGACCAAGTAAGTGCCTGGAAGACGTGACGCCGAGAGGGGCAGGGGAAGGGACCGAGCGCCTTCGCCTCCAACGCAGGTCCCCGGCCTTAACCACAGAGGCCTCCTTCCCTCTTAGGAACGGCCAGGAAGGGGGAGGCAGCCATTCCCTGCGACCTTGCAGAGGGAAGGAGCACCAAAGGGAGACTCAAGTGGAGACGCTGAGCTCCAAGCAAGAAAGGGATCCGGAGTTGAAGGCAACCCGCAGGAGGTTCCTGTCCAGCCGCCTGGCCCCGAACACACGCAGGAGGGACGCAGGGCAGAGGCTGGGAGAGAGGAGACGTCAGCGGTGGCGGGAGGCACCGAGGGGCCGCCAAGATCGGGGGCCTTCCAAAGACTGGGCCGCAGATCGCCTCTCGGCCTCAAGGAGAGGCAAGGAGCAGCTGCATCCCGGGGGTGGCTCAAAGCTTCCAGCTGGCCCAGGGACCGAGCGTGCGCAAACCCACACGAGACAGAGGGGGGGGCAGGGGAAAGGTCCCTCGACCGCCCCGCACACTCCATCGAGCCAGGCACAGAGAGGGGCCTTCAGAACACACTGAAAACAAGGCTCCCCTTCTTCCGCCGGACTCACCTCTGCCTCCCGGGACAGGCCTCCGAGGCGCTCCAGAGTCCCGGGCTTTCCCCATCGCCTGCCCCGTTTTCACAGGAGGCATCCGGGGGCTCTGAACCCCGGGACCTTCTGCTCCCCCCACTCCTAAACAAGGCCATCTCCCCATCTTCAGCCGGCCCTCGGTAGGAAAGCTGGCGAAGGCGGTCTTCTTTTCGGGGGGTGGGAGGAGGACAACTGCCTAGGATCCGGCCTGCCCCCCCCTGCCTCCCCACGGCCCAGGAGTCAATCTGAGCCTCCAGACGGGCTGGCCGGCGCAGGCAGGAAAGGCCAGGCCTCTCCGGTGACCAGCTGGAGGCCAGCCCAAACCCTTCCCTCACCCCGGTTTCCCATGAAACGAGTGAGAGAGAGGCTGAGTGAGGTAGGGCGGCCGGCCGGCAGGCAAGTGTAGCACATCATCTGTTTCCACGCTGCCCCCCCCCCAATCCTGCCACGGTCCCGGCTGCTATGGCAACGGCCAACCGCGAGGGGGGTGAGCTCATTCCATTCTTTGTGCGCGCGCGAGCCGGAAGGAACTGGGAGGCTTGGCGAGGTCGGGCGTCCAGCCCGAAAGAGGGAGAGGGTCTGGCCCTTCTCCGCAGCTGCGCTTTGCCCTCGGGAGGAAAGGAGACCGGCTCAGCCGAGCCTGGCAGCCCACACGGGGCGTGTTCTTCGCATGGGACCGGCCGTGCTGGCAGCTCCTCTCGGGAAGAAGGGAGCCGTTCCTTCCATTTGCAACGCCTTCCCACCCTCCTTGAGAAACCGGGGCCTTCAAAGCAATGGTCGTGGGGGGGGGAATGAAGGAATGCCAGAGCCGGCCTGCCAGCTGTGCTTCCCACCCCTATGCATTCCTCCCCCCCACACACACACAGCCGTTTGGATCCCGTTCCAGGGTTTGCAGAGAGAAAGGCAGGCAAGGGATTCCTTCCCAGGCGGCCTCATCCAGAAACGGCACGGGGGGGGGCGCGGCACACTTCTCTTTCCTTACCTTTCGGCGAACGGTGCAGCGGTGGCACATCCACTCCCCCGGAGGCAGCATCTCCTCGCTCAGCGGAGGGTTGCTGTGGAAAGAGACGTTCACGTCACAGGAATTCAGGAGTTTCCTGCAAAGATCCCGAACGGCCGGGAGAGACACCCTCGGAGGAGGGCGAGCGCACCCTGAGCTCCGAGAGGCAGCCCAACCCCACCGACGACGTGTCCTCCAAGGACGTGGTCCCCTGCTTGGAAGGGCGGGACGTGGCCAAGCGCTCCAGAACGGCCTGAAGGTGGCAGATTTGCTGCCTGGCAGACGGGGCAGCAGTGGCTGGAAGGCCTAAAGGGGATGCCAAGCGACAGAGGCCACCCAGCCACACCTGAGGACGGTGAACGGGCCACCCGTGGGCTGCCCCACGAGTGAGGCCACCCACTCTGCCTGTGGCCCTTGATCCATAAGAGGCTCGGCCAGTTTCTCCAAAACTTGAGGCAAGCTTGCCATGTTTCACCGCTTGTGATCAGTGCCCGGAGGACCCTGCGCAGCGCCTTGCAAGTATTCCGGATCATTCCCTTTCCCTTACTCTGCTCCCTGACACGGGAGGCGTCTGCAGCTGCAGGACAAACAAGGAGCCTTCTGCCCTTCCTGGAGAGCACCAAGCCACGTTGAGACATCCGTGTGGGGCAGGCCGAGGGCCCTTGGGCTCCTGAACCCCCCCCCGGGACCCAAGCCCATCCCTCCCCTCCCCGGGTGCGCCAGGCAGGATCTCTGGCCTCCCTGGGTCACCATCTGCGGAGAGGCTGCAGAGCCGGCAGACGGAGGGAGAAGCCACTCAGGCCGTCCACCTCCCTTCTCAGAGGCGAGGCTTCAGGTGGTGGCGGTGGTGGGGAAGGCACAATGGAAACCCCCCCCCGCACGCACACACACCTGAAAGCTGCAGGAGTTTTGAAACACTGTGTGTGTGTGGGGGGGGAGCCAGGTTTTCTTTTTTCCTCTCTTTCTCTCTTAAAAAACCCCACCAGGGTGGCTAGAATGATCTCAGTTGGCAACCTATTTGCTCCTTTATCACACACCCTCAAGCCGCTTCAGGCAAACTGGCAGGAACCCAAGAAGGGGAAGGGAAGGGGTTGCGGGACGGACGGGTCCCCTCTAGGAAGCCGGGGCCCTGGCGCTCTGGAGCACAAGGAACCCGAGCGCGGCCAAGGGGGGAACAGGACCCGACTTGCAGGAGGAAGCAAGGAGGCGCCGATGTCAACACACACCTGGCCCCGCTGCTACAGACACACACACATGACACACGACACATGAGACACGCGGCGCAGGCCTACGCACGCGGCTACTGTCCTGACCTCTAAGCTGTCGGTCACGAGGCAGGCAAGCTCACCCTCCAAAGGCGGCGCGCGGAGAGCCCGGAGGCCCCCCACGCTTTGGGGTCCCTGCTCACGGGGGCCGTGTTTTGCAGGCAGGGCTGCTCTCTGGCGCTAGCCGGGCCCTGGCCGGCCGCCCCACTGAAGGGTGCCAGACCTGCCCCTGGAGACACTGGCCATCAGCCTTCTTGACCCTGCAAAACCATGCCGGTCCTCTGAGTGTGACTCCCGGGGCCTCTCGTAGAGCCGGGACCCACGCAGGAGGAGGAGGAGGAGAGCAAGCCCCCCCCCCGGCAGCTCGCTCTCTGCTGTGTCCACAAAAGAGGCAGGCAGCCTCCGCGGGTCCCTCCAGGAGAGCTGCCGTGACGCGGCCATGAAGAAGCCCCGTCGGTCGATGGCTGCTCCTGGCCAAGATTTTTCCCACCCGCTGCTCACTGCTCATTGCTGGCAGGAACCGGAGCCAGGGAACTGGAGCATCTTCCCCGAGACGCAGAGGGATGACTGGGAAACGGCCTTCCTTCCTCTGGGCACAGGGGTGCCCTTGGTCAGAGCCCAGGCGGTCGGGGGAGGCCCCGCCAGCGAGCACGGAAAAGGCCACCTGCCCTTTTGAAGCAAGGCCCAAGAGGAGGGAGTCTCCCGAAATCAAGGCACACAGGCTTGCTGGCTTGCTTTTCCTGGACGGAGACGCAAGCGCAGAAGAAGGAAAAGAGAGAGAGAGAGAGAGAGAGAGAGAGAGAGAGAGAGACCGCCGGAACCAAGCACTGGCTGGCATGGGGAAGGCAGGAGGGCCAACCGAGCCTCCCCGCCTCGTTTCAGGGAACGTCCGGGCGCCTTCTGGGCACTTGCTGGACTCAAGGTGGGACTCGGGTGACCTGGGCCTCGGCGGGGGCGTTCCTGGGAGCCCGGCAAGGCTGCGCTTCGCCCCTCGATATGGCCACGCTCCAACGGCTATATATAGGCTGCGAGCAGATCCAAAATCCTTTGGGGAGGAAAGGCGATACTCCGAGGCAACGCTGGGCACCACAGCCGGGACAAAACCACAAACCTTGCAGGCACGCTTGCAGAAACCGGGAGGGCGGCTGGGCGAGGCTCTCCGGCTCTCGCAGAGCCCGTCAAGAGCTCCCTGGCCTTTTCCTGCTTCGGTGCCCAGCGGTGAGAGGCGGGAAGGGAGAGGGAGGGAGGGAGCGAAGACGGCCTTCCTGAAAGCGCAACATCCGGGCTTTTTTTCCTGCCTCCTCTAAATCTCCTCAAGTCGGGCAGGGAGTTTTTCCTTCAACCCGGTGCTCCTCCCCTCCAGCTACGAGGAGCCTGCCGGATGATGAATTCCTCCGCTCGACACCACCCCACGGTCGAGATCAAAGCGCCCCGTTCTGCCGCTCTCCCAAAGAAGAGCAGGACACTGCTTGCCGGGACCATCCAGGGAGGGGCGAGGGTGGCGGCGGGACAGGTGCGGCCTGTGCCGTGGTGCCCTCGGGCCACGGCTGAATCCAACCCTTGCAGTGAAACCTTTCCAAGTAGGGGAAGCTGATCTGAGTCAGGGCAGGATCCAAGGCTTCCTCCCAGCCTGCCTGCTGCGGAAGGATCGGCTTTTCCTTCTCCTTTCTTTTTAATGGCCTGCTCGAGACTTAGCACACGGAACACTTCCCAGGGAGGTCCTCGGTTTTCTCTTCCTCCACCTTGGACAAACTCTTTACACACAGCCTTGTTTGCACAGTTGAGGGAAAGAAAGGCACACACACACACACACACACACACACCACACACTCATCACTCGGCTGCTAAAGAAAAAAAATTAAAATAAATAAAGGCCACCTCTCCTGAGCAGATCTTTCCTTCTGCCTCCCAGTCTGCTAAGCGGCTGCCTCTGCTGGTTACAGGAGGCGGAAGTGGGGAGGGGGGGGCGCGTCGGGGAGAACAACAGAGGAAAGGGCACAAATGGCACCGAGGGATCGGCAGGCAGAAAGAGCAAGAGCCGGGAGGAGCTGCCAAGCCCCCATTCTGGCATGCAACGTGGCAAGACGTTCATCTAGAGAGGAAGATCGTTCCGGGGTTCTGCTCTGAATGGGGCCCCCGCCTTTGGGCAGGCCTGATCCTGGCTTTCCTATGTGTCATGGGTTTGACGGAAAGGGGGGGGGGAGAGAGAAGGCCAAGCCCAGCCAGCCATTCAGAGCCACGGCCTGCCTTCCCCATGCCTTCTCCCCCACAAGGCCCTGCTCCTTCCGCACAGGACTGAACTTGTCCTGCTCTTGCTCTCTCTGTCTGGCGGAAGGGGTCCCTCCGCACGGGCTCTGCCATCGGATTCCTCCTTCCTCTCCACCCTCGTTCTGCCAGGGACGTTTCCTCAGGGGCCACAAAGGCGAAGCAGGACGGCATCATCGGACGAGCAGGAGAGAGGAGACTCGATCTTGCGGTGTCCTGTCTCCTTAAACTGCACTGACTTCCAGCTCCAGAACTTTGCAAATAAAGCTGGGGTTTTGCTTTCCCCCCCCTCCTCCCAGCCCTCTTTTTCCTCTTTCCTTTGTGCCCAGGTTTCAGCAGTGGCCAGGAGTGCTTTTGCACAATTAAAACCAGTACACCAGCTGCGCCTCCCACCTGAATTACTGTAACACACTGTACCTGGAGCTGCCTCTAGAAACCCCCCCCTCACGCTTTTTAAGCTTCAAAAGCCTCAGGGCAAGGACTGCCTTCTTCAATTTGTTAGCCCTCCTAGAAGACTCTCTGAGCCATGCCCGCCCGGTCCCAAAAAAGGAAGACAGACAGCAAAATGGAACAAAGAAGTTAAAGCCAACAGAAACCAAAATATAGCAGGTGACAAATACTACAGGCACTGTTAAAAAAGGAAAAAAAGAAAGAAAGAATTGCACAGAGTTTCAAACCCACTTAAAACAGGCCAGGCTGTGAAATACATCCAGCACGTTGGAAAGCCAGGGAGAAAGTCAAAAAGGACCTGATCCAAGCAGGCAGGTCTCATGGGAGAACGGGATTCCACCACCAGATAGGAAGAGAGCCACACACCAGCCCCACCAACCCTGCAAGCAGGAAGGGCCTCGCGCCTGCCAGTATCTGGGCCGCCACGTTTCCTACAAACTGAGGCTGACCTGTCTTCCTCCAAGGGACCCCCACACACACCTGACCGCTGATCTCAAGCAGGCTGAGCAACGCTTCTGCGAAGGGCTCTGCTTTAGCATCTTACCGCCAAAGGGCTACGGATTAAGGACAATGCTTCTGCGAAGGGCTCTGCTTTAGCACCTCCGTCTTACCGCCAAAGGGCTACGGATTAAGGACCGGATCCGACCCCAAATCCGGAAGCGCATTTCCTGCCTCACCTGGGCGCGATGGAAAGGAAGAGGCCTGAGCGACACCCATCGCCGGCACGCCGAGGACACGGCACTCCCGTCTCTGGACGGCTACGTGGCCGTACCACCCTGAAAGGATCCCGGTCTGTTCCCATCCCAGAAGCCGGGATCCGGGTCAGGCCTGGGATCTCCAGGCAGGGCTAGGAAAGAAAGGCCGCCAGAGAGGCACGGAAGAAAGGCACAAACCCCAGAGGGCTGAGCGGAAAACCCTCACGTGCTCTGGGCGTGGGAAGACCTCTCGGGCCGATTTGTCTCTTTTCTTAAGGGTGCGTGTGTGTGTGTGGGGGTCTGTTGAAGAAGTGGATAATTATAACCGACAAATACTCACATATAAAATGGATTTCCAAATCATAAAGGGGACACGGTATCTCTGCTAAATATAATAAGGGACAGAGCGCAAGACCGAGGAGGACCGAGGGGGGGGCTGTTGACCTGTCTGTCTGTCTGTCTGTCTGTCTGTCTGTCTGTGTGTGTGTGTGTGTGTGTGAGAGAGAGAGAGAGAGAGAGAGAGAGAGAGAGAGAGAGAGAGGGAGAAACGCTGCTCTCAGAGTAACCCTCAGAATGTGGGCTCTGTGAGGCTTCACACGGGGCGAGAACGTTAAAGGCCGCACAAGTTGCCGAGAGAGAAGCTCGGGTGACCGAGGGCAGAGCCATGAAGGAGAAAAAACCCAGCTCCCTTCCCTCCGCCTCCCCGATGGAGCCATCTCAGGAACGAGCTCGAACTCACGCTTGACTGGATTCCAGATGAGGTTCCCTCCACCTGCGTCCCACAACCTCTCCGCTTCCTTGCACGGGAGGTGCTGCAGGCCGGCAGCCAAGGCCTGCAAAGTCAGAGAGGAGACTCGGCTACGTCCAGCCGGCGCCGGGTGAGCTCCCAACGGCCGCGGTTCCGCGGGACTGCTCACCAGGGCAGCCCTTGGGAGATGGCCCAGGGCCCTCTGGAAGCCATTGGTGGCCATCAGCCTCCAGGTGGTGAACGATCTTCAGGTTACAGGGACCCTCAGCAAACGTGGACAGAAATCAAGCCATCTCTGCAGGCGGAAGGCCAAGCAACCAGACCAAAACCCTTCCGTTCTTCCCTTTCTGGAAATGCCCTGCCTTGCCCTGGACTCTCTGGTGCAGGAGGCCACTCTCCTCTTCCTCCGGCATCTCTGAGAGTGGCCTTTGGGGCCACCACGGAGAGCTGCAGCCGAACCGGCCACAGTCTGATGGAGAGGACACGACGCTCTGGCAGGCTCCGGAGACGCCAGGCCCCTTTCTGACCCCTGGAAATGGCGCAAACCTGATTTAGCCACCCAGGCCGGGCCCTTAGCAATCCTCGGTATCTTTTCACTGCCCAGACGGAAGCCGAGAGCTTAGGCCCTGACCCTACATCCTGTCTCACCTGATCTCAGAGCCCTTCTCCCCCCCCCCAAAAATAAATGCCCTCCCGTACCTGCTTTGGACTCATTTTGAGGGAGCACAGCCGGCAAAGAGAGGCCTTCGAACTCCCCCGAGAGCTTCCAGTGGAAAGCTTGAACCCCACCATGCTAGCTGCACACCAGGCCTGTTGGAATCCTGCCCTCTCCGGCAACAAAGGCAGCCCCGCACAGAGAAAGCCGGGCTCAAGTTACAGTCAGCCTGGATTTTTAATTACAACCACTCGTTTCCAGAGGTCCAAGGTGCACATCAGCACCATCAAAGGAAGAAAAAAAATAGGCTGGGGGGGGCGTTTTTGGGTTTGGTGTGTGTGTGTGTTTTAAAAAAAAAAAAAAACACAAATGCCCAGTTTTTAGACAAGGCGTTTTTTGTGCAGAGTTTGGCTTCTGGAAAACCCTGTAAAGGATTTCTGAAGTGACACATTCCTCTTTTTAATCGTTCAAAACGATGCAACTCTAAAAGACAGTCCAGTTTCTCTCTCTTGCACTGACCTGGCCATGAGACAGGTGGAGGGAACCCTTTTTCCTCTTTAAAAAAACAAAAACAGAACAGAACAGAACAAAAATAAAACGAGGCTGCAGAACCCATTTGGATGTTACCCGCCCTGGACCTGCTTAATCAGCCAGAACTTCGAGGGCCTCAAAGTCTTGAGAAGAAAAGGAGCGCGGGGGGGGGGGAGGAAGGAGGGAAACACAGGAAACAGGCCTACAGCATGCAAAAATAAACAAGGGCACCATTCACACAGGGCTCCTCTGTTAACTCATGACAAGTTCAGGATACGGGGCATCACTCTGATTAAGGTGTCCAGGTGTTACCCGGTTGGAGTTCCAGAGAACTTTTGCACGGGGTGATCAAGGTGGACTCACGCTTTCCAGCCATAAAGGGAAGGTCCCGGCCTGCTGTCCTCCTACCTGGGGAACTCGGGCCCCTCCTAACCCCTTGGGAAGGGATCCCACCGGGCCCCCACTGCAAGCGCGGCAATGTCAAGGAGCTCCCCCCCCATCCCTGCCCACGGCTGCCCAGCTGCCGCATGAAAGGTGCCCGGATAAGCAGGCGGCAGAGAGAACACCTTCAGAGGCAGGCCTGCCTTTCAGCCTCACAGACCGTGGGTCCATTCGCTCCTGGAATAAGGACTCGGGAGAGCCGGCCACCTTCCCAGGTCTCATGCAGGCAACGCAGCTCATACGCCCACCCTTGAAATCCGCTTGAGAGAGACCCACCGGAACGAGCCTGGGACCCAATGCAAACCTGGACTGGCCACCAAGCCAACACGCCCTCTGAGGGATCCGCCTGCCGCTAAGGCAGCCACGTCGTGAGTCTGCGGAATGGGCCGAGAGAATAAAGGCGACGTCCACCGCCCCTGGGCCAGGAACCAGAGCCAATTGCCAGACTTCTGGAACGCCGGGGCAAAGGCCAGCTTTGGGACAGAGAGCATGAGATGCCCATAAAGAACGGCAGCACAAGCAGCAAATCGAGTTCCCAGCGGATGGGAAGGGGGTGACATTTCAAACGGAGGCAGCCTCGGGGAGAAACACACCATCTTTTGCCCGAAGCGCTGAAACAGCCCTTTGAACGACAGAACAATAGGGGGAAAGAAGAAGAAAAAACCCAGACCAAGGGGAGGCCAGGCCCCAGGAAAAGTCACAGAAATCCACCGGGTGGGTGCGGGAAACGTGGGTGCGGACACCGACGCGCTCTCTTCCTTCCTCCTCGTAAAGTTACCTTTGCTCCTCCTCTTATGCCGCCTGTTGCTGGAGTGACCCAAACTCTGATAGCCAAACAGGAAGCTATAAATGGGATTTGACCTAGATAGATGGAACGGTTGGCTAAGTTCAGAGAAGACTTTTGCAGCCTGGAAAAGAGCCAGTTCACCTGCTCTGCATCCAGCCCTGACCACTGATTTATTTATTCTGCAAGTTACCTGCTTCTGCACCGCGTACGCCTCTTCCCCCCCCCCCCC